ACCCTCTGAGTCATTGCTTAATGGAATCATTGTACTCACTGTGGTATCCTTATGTCCCCTTCTCTGAAGCAGAGACACGGGCTGCAGATGGCTCATGGTAGAGGAGAGCCCTAGCTGTCATTCCCACTCCAATGGTGGCATAGAGTTAATGCCTCCACAAATGTCCCATCCCAGATGGTGGAGGTCACATCTGTTCTTTATCACTTCCATTCCTGTCCTGGGTCATTCCCAGGCTCCTTTAGGTGCAAAGCTTGGGGAGGCCTGATACCCTAGAACAAGGAGCTCAGTCCACTCACCATTCCCATTTTTGACATTTCACCTGCAGTTTAACCGTGAACCTCACATATACAGATTAAACAAACAATAGCAGCAACATGGCTGCAGTGTAGCTCAGTGGCAGAGCTTCTGTCTGTCATGCACAAGGTCCTGGGTTCCAGCCTCAGCCCTACAAACATAAACACAGACACATAACAGTGACAATAATGCCTGCTCTTAAAGTTTCTGAATTTCTAGGAGTAAGGTTAGCATCTGCAGAAAGGGTTTGCAGTCTGTGTCTGCTCACTTAATTGAGGCCTTTATCGATTCTTGGGGTGAGATTTTTGGAGTACTAACTCTTTCATGTTCTCTGAATTCCAATTCTGTGCCTCACTCTCCTCACCTGTGGAGCAGAGGTGGGATCCTGCAAGCAAAAGGCAAGTGGAGACCTCATGCCAGCAATGTGCATGCACGATGCAGGTGCCGAGTAAAGTGGAACTGCCACTAATGTCCCCTTTGCTGTCTGCAGTCTGAGTTATTAAACTTGGTAGTAGCTCTGTTGATCTGAGAAAGTAGCCACATCCCACTTACCTGTGAATGCGGAGATCCAGCTAGTAAATAGACTATTTAGACTAATTGCCAAGGTGAGGGCTTGACATAAACATGGGACCTCGTGCTTGGACAGCTCCTTTTTCACATGAAGGTTGAAGTCCTGTCCTTGAGCCGGAGACCATATAACAAGAGGGAACCACACAGCCACAGTGCCCCCAGAGTTGGTGCTAATAGAACTATAAACAAAGCCACTTTCATGGGAAGTGCTGTGCTTGCTGTTTTCTGGGACAAGCACTGGGATAACAGGAACACAGTGGGAGTTTATTTTCCTCCGGCCTCCCCTCATTTGGTGAAAGTCTCTGGCGCCATGTGAGGGTGTTTGGGACTTCTGAATCTTGGCATACATTCCCCAGATCCTCATGCCACTGGGACTCAGTAAACAGGGACATACAGCACCAGGGGTTGCCCCTGTGCTGCATGTGGACCCCTAAGAGCAACGTCAATTATGGCCAAAGGTGCTTCATGCTGTTCCATTCCACACTTGCTCATGGAAGATCCAAGGCAGGTGCATTCGACTTGATAAAGAGTTTTTCTGATTCCAAAGTTTTATGCTGCCGTTTGGAGTGGGATCCGTCCCTCTATCCACCCACTCCTCTGAGGCAGGCCATGGGGTAGGATTTCCACATTATCCTCTGAATTTTTTCCTCTGACCTCTAAGGCTTTGCCGACTAATCCATTCATTCAGAACATCCATGGGTGCCAGTTTAGTGCTGGGAATGCAGGGGCGGGGTGTGGCTCCTGCCCCAGGAGCTAATGATAGTGCTCATCAAGCTTGTGTTACCAGTTTGGTCCATCATAATCCCACCCATCCTTCCTGGCTTCTATCAAATACTGCTTCCTCCAGGAAACTTTGCAGGCTCCCCCAGCAAGTGTTCCTAGGGGGTCTCTCTGAACCCCACAGGCTGCTCCTCCCATAGAGGTCTCTTCCTCACACACATCTCAAGGGCAGGACCTGCGGGTGCTTACTATCTTGCTCTGGTTTCTCTTTTCTGTTTCTTGCAACCTAGACCATGTTGGTAGATAATGAATACTCAGCAAATGTCTTATATGGGAAATAAAATGTCAAACTAAAATGAAGTTATTTTATCACCACGAAGAGAAGCGAAGGGTGCAAAGGGATGGTTTAAAACCATATACATCTTTGTTTTTCAATCTAAGGAATTAAGGAAAGAGTTTGGAAGGCCATCCAGTTAGTTAATTAGTTCACCGAACATTTACATTTAAATATTTACTATGGGTCATCCTGGGGCAGGGGCAGTCACACAGTTGTATACTGGCTCTGTCTGCTCCAGGAATTTGCAGATAAATCCCAGCAGGAGACATGGTCATAAGCAGATTGCATGAACAGTATTTGCTAGGCCTGGCCCTGGTGTGATCATGAGATATTTACATTTGAGGCGGGAGATGGTGTATCCCTGGAGTGTCTTATTGAGGAGTTTAAACACATAGGACATTAGCACTACGGTTTCAGTGCTTTAAAAAAAAAAAAAAATTGATGTAGCAGTATCCCTGTAGTACGCTCTTTTAAGGTCTTCAGGGAAAAGTCCAAGAAGGGCACTAGCTGGGTCAAACGGTGGTTCCATTCCCAGCTTTCCCAGGAGTCTCCATACTGTTTTCCAGATTGGCCGCACCAGTTTGCAGTCCCACCAGCAATGTACAAGAGTACCCTTTTCCCCACATCCTCTCCAGCACTTGTTGTTGTTTGACTTCATAATGGCTGCCAATCTTACTGGAGTGAGATGGTATCTTAGGGTGGTTTTGATTTGCATTTCTCTGATGTTCATAGCAGCACAATTCACAATTGCTAGACTGTGGAACCAACCCAGATGCCCTTCAATAGATGAATGGATAAAAAAAATGTGGCATTTATACACCATGGAGTATTACGCAGCACTAAAAAATGACAAAATCATAGAATTTGCAGGGAAATGGATGGCACTAGAGCAGATTATGCTTAGTGAAGCTAGCCAATCCCTAAAAAACAAATACCAAATGTCTTCTTTGATATAATGAGAGCAACTAAGAACAGAACAGGGAGGAAGAGCAGGAGGAAAAGATTAACATTAAACAGATACATGAGGTGGGATGGAAAGGGAGAGAAAGGGGAAATTGCATGGTAATGGAGGGAGACCCTCATTGTTATACAAAATTACATATAAGAGGTTGTGAGGGGAATGGGAAAATAAACAAGGAGAGATATGAATTACAGTGGATGGGGTAGAGAGAGAAGATGGGAGGGGAGGGAGGGGGGATGGTAGAGGATAGGAAAGGTAGCAGAATACAACAGTTACTAATAGGGCATTATGTAAAAATGTGGATGTGTAACCGATGTGATTCTGCAATCTGTATTTGGGGTAAAATTGGGAGTTCATAACCAACTTGAATCTAATGTATGAAATATGATATGTCAAGAGCTTTATAATGTTTTGAACAACCAATAAAAAAAATTAAAAAAAAAAATTAACACTAAAATTGGTGTCCTGTCTTTTCCTCCAAAGGGGACAAATCACTGTGTTTAAGGTTTTGTCTGTAATTTTCAGAAGTTGTACTTTTAAGTGTTCACTTCTGCTTGAGTGTCACGGGTTTTTTTTCCCCCCTTATGGTTTCATATATTTAATATATCTTGGGAAATTCTCTTTAAATATCTTTTCCAGTGTCGCTTGTTTTCATCCAATGTTTCCATCCCTTCTTGGACTCTGGTTTCACATAGGTTAAAAGTTTCCATTGTTTTCCCGTGTTTTTAAGCTCTTCTCTGTATTCCTCATCCTCCTCCCTCTCAGAGCTTCTCGCTGCACATAATTTTCTCCCCTAGCCAAGTCTACCCATCACTTCCTCTGCAGTGTCTCGTCGGCTGATCAAAGCTCTGTGTGCATGGTCATTTCATTCCCTCTGTTAAGTTCTAGGGTTTCCATTTAATTATTTTTATGGACTTGTTCTTTTTGTGAAACACAAATTGCTCTGTCTTTTGTTTTCTTGAACATTTAGCTATCCTCAGTCTGTGCTATTCTAACTCCAAGTTTTGTGTCAGTGGTGGTTTTTTTCTGGTTGTTCTTTTTTCCTTGGTCATGGTTTTCACTTGTCATATTTAGTGGCATGGCTAAATTTGTATTTAAATATTTCACAGCATGTTAAAAAAAAAAATCACAGCAAGATGGAGGAGGGGCAGGCTGGAGGGGGTTGTGTGCCCCAGAGAGGATGTGACTTTTCAATCAGTCTGACCAGATCCAATTAAGGCTGCTCTGTCCCTGGACTCTTGTTCCTGGGTCTTAGCCCTTCACGAATCTCACCTCAAAAATCTCACCGTATTTGCAAGTGTCCCCCTCCATAGGTATACATCACACTTGTAATTTTGTTACTTGACTACTCAAATCCTTGCTTATTGTTTTAGTTTCTCAGTAGCCATTTTTTTTTTTTATCTTGGTTACTCTGCATTGGCCCCTACCTCTGCAGTTCAGGACTCAGGGAAATTTGCTATAAGTTCAATTTCTCTGCCATCTTGGCCCTCCCAGTCCTGGCTGCCTTGATAGCTCTGAACCTTCATTTTAATCTCCCCATAATAGTGTGATTGCAGCTCAAGTTTGTTTTCTCATAGTCAGTGGATTGTCACTGCAACTGAGTCACCAACTTGGGGGTCGGGGAGCAAAGGAAGTTTAAGGATGCCTGACTGTCTTGGTGTTTTAGGGCTTGGGCTTATGGAGAATGGATCTTGCTATGGAGAATGGATCTTGCTATGGAGAAGGGTCCTGTTGATTTGCAGAGAAAGGCTGGACCCTAGGCATCCTAGACTGAATGTTAAGAGTACAGCCCATTAGTGGTCATATGGTGCTGGGTCCTGGAGGACCAGCCCATTGGCCCTGTGTTCCTACCATGTGACTGCAAGGATGCTGACACCAGCTCAGGTAGGGAGGTGGACAGTGTATGTGGGGCTGAGTTAGCCATCTTCTCTTTTGAAAACAGCCATAGGTAATGGCAAACCTGCACAGAGCGACACGGAACCAACTTCTTCAACCTGTGTGTGACATTATGGCTCAACAGGGCTATGAGCAACAGAAAGATTCAGAAATTAACACCTTAGAGAACACACACATGGGATGAGATTACAACCCCTTTCACTTTCTGTTTTTTTCCCGCAGAACCACGAGGCTGTCCTGAGATTCTCAGCCACACCGTGGGGATGTCAGAGAGCCCCATTGGACCCAAACCCACGATGCTTCGGGCCGATGTGCCTGCGACGCCCAGCTTTCAGCAGGCCTTTGCATCTTCCTGCACCATTTCAAGCAACGGTCCTGGCCAGAGGAGAGACAGGTAGGAAAACGAACCTATAAAACTTGGTAAAAACGCCCTATGCAACCCGGAGTGCTGAGCTGAGGGTGGAGAGGGGGTTGTGGAGGCTGGACCTGGGGCCCCAGAGGGTGCCCCTACCCAGGGGATGTTGTGGACATGGTCTGTGTACTGCTATGTGGGAAGGTACACATAGGAAATATGGGAAACTCAGTTACAGGGGTATTGCAAGAATAGAAAGAAATGAAAGGGCCACAGACAAACAAAAATGTCCTCTTTCTGCTTTATAAAGCCAGTGACCTTGAGGAAATCTAAGTGGGACTGCTCCTGTTGCCTATGGTAGAAGTATATTCAATTGTGTTTATTATATGAACATAGCTCCCTATTTATCTTCCTTTGTTCAACCTCCTTTCTCATTAAACTGAAGAGGTTCCTCTCTAAGAATTTGCTATTGCAGGCAGATCCTATACCCAGTGTTTGCTAATTTAAATATGTGTAAATTATGTGGGTTATGTTTTTAGTTGCTTTTATATATTCATGAATATATCATAATGTCTGGTACAGTTGTCCCTTCTTATCTGCAGGGAATATGTTCTAGGATCCTCAGTGGGGATGCCTGAAACCATGGATAGGACCAAACTCAATATGTACTATTTTTTTTTCTACACTTATATACCTTTGATAAACTTTAACCTTTTCAAATGAAGGAAGCATTTTACTCTTCTCCTTAGCAGCATTTTACTCTTCTCCTTAGCGTATCTGAATTGCCAGTATTACTACCCTTGCCCTTTGGGGACATTATTAAGTAAAATAAGAGTTTCTTGAACCTAAGAAACCATGATACAGTATCAGTCAATTGTACAACCAAGTTAGCTACTAAGTGACTAATGGGAAGGTAGCATATACAGTACAAATACATGAAACAAAAAGGATGATTCATTTCCTAGACAGGATGGAAGACTATGCAAGATTTCTTCACATTTCTCCAGATGGCACTCAGAATTTAAAACTTATCCATTATTTATTTCTGGAATCTTTTATTTAATATTTTCAAGCCAAGGTTGAGCCTATATAATGGGAACATGCTGCTCTGAATGGCACTCAGAGTTTAAAACTTTTTTAAAACTCAATTGTTAACTTTTAGAATTTTCCTTTTAACATTTTTAGACAAAGGCTGACCCTGGGTAACTGAAACAAGTATAAGAGGCGCTACTTTGTATCCTGAGCCTTGACATTTTGTTTCCCCAGCCCTGCCCTCCTCACATCTACTGACAGTTTTTCTACTGATTTTGAGATGCTTCAATATACCTAATATTCCCTTGTGGCTGATTTATCTTTTGAACAGCCAGCCTTGTGCAGAACGCCCATGGGTGGAGAGCAGCCCCAAATCCACACTCTCTCTTCTGGGGAGCAGCCGGCCCTCTGGAAGTCCCCTCGGCACCAACGAGTTCTCCAGCCCTGGAAAGGACTCCGCAGGCTTGTCCTGCTTCCCATCGTCTGAGCTCCAGGCCTCTTTCCATGGCCATGAGCTGTCCATGGTGGAGCCACAGGACTCTCTGGTCCCCACAAGCAGCCAGGCCTTCCTGGGTTACAGCACCAATCCAGTAGGAAGTGGCCTTCCACCTGAAGAGGACCCAGGAGCTTTGCTGGCCAATTCCCATGGAGCATCTCCGGCCCCTGGCCCGCCGCTGACAACAGCCGGGGCTGCCGACAATGGCTTCCTGTCCCACAATTTTCTTACAGTGGCACCTGGACACAACAACCACCATAGTCCAGGCCTGCAGGGCCCAGGAGTGACCCTGCCTGGGCAGCCACCCCTCCCTGAGAAGAAACGGGCCTCAGAAGGGGATCGTTCTTTGGGCTCCGTTTCCCCCTCCTCCAGTGGTTTTTCCAGCCCACACAGTGGGAGCACTATCAGTATCCCCTTCCCAAATGTCCTTCCAGACTTTTCCAAGCCTTCAGAAGGGGCCTCACCTTTGCCAGGTATGTATTGTCACCTCTGTATGTGCACTAAGGAAGGGCCTGGAATTTACTGTTAGGGCTTACCTGAATGTGCATCTGTAATGTCAGTGTCCTGCAGGAAAAGCCCAGAGCTGTTAAGGATCCCATCCATCTTGCTGACCCAAAGCCAGAGAGAGACATGGTGCTTCTCATTAATTTTTCTAGGCTTCTGCATTTATCCACCTTAGGTTCATCCCAGAAGTAGAAAGGACAGACTATTATAGCAGTTCTATTTTCCCTGTTACTCACAAACATTACTCTTTGAAGACTACTTTCTCTTTTAAATTAAATTGATTCATTCATGATTTAACTATGAAATTTTTCAGGTGCATAATTATAAATAACACTGACCTTGCTGTTTGCAACCTACTTTTCTATGTATTTTAAACATGCATTTCAAAATCCCAAAGTATCATGTTGTAATGTTCTATCTTATAAAACAGTAGCTGTTCTCCTGCAACTTACTAATTTCAAACGTAGTTCCTCCCCCTTAGAACATCCCCATCCTCCTTCTTCCCTAGGCATAGGATTCGGATTTGTAGGAACATTGTAGATAAGAAGATACAATAAAAAATGTTCTTTGTAGTCATTTTTCTAAAACTTTGCTTTGTAGATAGTCCAGGGGACAAACTTGTGATCGTGAAGTTTGTTCAAGACACTTCCAAATTCTGGTACAAGGCAGATATTTCAAGAGAACAAGGTATGTGGAGAGAGGGAGGGCTCCCTGGGACATCATTCCTCCTCAGTGCCCAGGTTCCTTGTGTGAGGGAGGATCATGTCATAGCAATGTCTAAGTACCAGGGCTGAGGCCTGGATAGAGTCAGAGCAAGGCCACACTTTATTATATGCCTCTGGGGAAATCCCATGACCTTTAAGTTTTTATAGGAAAAATTTGGTTCTAATGAGGGAGTTGGGGAGGGATGGGCACCAGCTCTCAGCATTCCAACATGCAGAGTATAATTTCTGGCTGCTTCTACCAACTAGCAGCTTCCCAAGGCTGCCAGCCCGTGTCTCTACTGAAGAGTGAGGTCCTGAGCTACAGAAGACAAGGGTCAGGATGGAGGGAAAGGTGTACCTGTTTAACTGCCTTGCTCTGTGTCGTCAGGAGCCCTGTGTATTCCTGAATACCTGTGTTGGTCCAAATCAGAATGTAATAGACTTGGCCAGATGCCTCACATGCAAACCAGATAGAGTATCCATCTGCTTGGTTCTGCGTCAAGATAGCTTTCAAAATTGAAATTTTTAATATTTAAATTTTTTTTTCTTTTTGCTCCTTTTTAAAAATTGACACATAATAATTATACGTGTTTATGGGACGTAGAGTGTTAATTCGATAAAGTGTATGTAATCCTTCTAATGGTCAAAGCAGGATAATTTGTTTTTCTATCTCATTAAATATTTATCATGAAATTATTAAGATATTTAATAATTTCAACTGAGTTTCTGTAATTTTATTTTATTTATTTGTTTGTTTATTTGTACTGGAGAATGAATCCAGGAACATTCTACCACTAAGCTATATCACCAGCCCTCCTTAATTTTTATTTGGGACAAGGTCTAACTAAGTTGCCAAGGCTGCCCTTGAACTTGTGATCCTCCTGCTTCAGCCTCAAGAGTCACTGGGTTTATAGGTGTAAGACCATGCTCAGAACGTGTTCCTGTTTACCAGAATATGAGTAGATTTTCCAACAGGAGGCTAGCAAGCCATTCCTGTGACTGTCCCTCCTGGAAGCATGTGTTAGTCAGCTCTGAATTGCTGAGACAAAAATACTGGAGATAAACAACTTAAAAGGAGAAAAGATTTATTTTGGCCCTTTCAGAGGTTTCAAGCCACGGTCAACTGGCTCCATTGCTTTTATACCTGTGGTGGAGCAGAACATCATAGTGGGGAGCATATGGTGGAGTAAAGCTGCTCACCACATGGGGACCAGGAAGCAGAAAGAGAGAGAGGAAGGGGCCAGGGTCTCAAGATCCCTTTCAAGGGCACACATGTCCCCAATGACCTACTTCTCCAACCAGGACCCACATGCTAAAGGTTCCACCACCTCCCAGTAGCTCCTTCATCTGGAGACCAAGCCTCCAACAAGCTTTTGGGAAGCATTTAAGATCTAATCCATATCTCGGAAGCCCCTTGGATAATGAGTGACCATTCTTTCAGCAGATTTTACAAGTCCCCACAGCAGCACTGCTCTCTGCCCATGGAGAGCTGCTGCCCTCATTCCTGGAAATCATTTTTGTCAGCAGGAGCCTGGAGCATTCTTCAGAGGGGTTGTTGTGCACAAGGCAGAGCCATGCCTCATGCAGCTAGGAGATGGGTCAGGATCCCTAGAAAGCAGAATGGATCTCAGGGACTGCCTGGTGAATGCTGAACTGTAAAAGGGAATTGGGTGACTTAAAGCAGTAAGAAGTAGAGAGGTTCCCATAGTTGGCACAAAGCCCATTTGGCTACTCTATGCCTTTTTTTTTTTTTTTTTTTTTTTCAAATTCAGAAGAAAATCATCATGCTCCCTCTTGATGATTATGTCTTAAAAAAAATACTGAAGTGACTGAAAAATAGCACTGTCCAATTCTCCCATTGAAATTCTGCTCTTTGATTATGTAGATGATAGAAATTCTAAGAATGTGATTTTCTTCTCATGAGTTCAATGAAGCTATTGTTATTTTAAATGGAAGTGGGAGGGGGGAGCCCATGATCTAGGAATACTTTTATTTCCTTCAACTTTTTGTTTTGTGAGAAGCTGCCCACCAGAGTCTTAGGGCTCTGGTGGCCAGATGCTGTGTTCTTATTGCCACCACTCCTCTTTGATGATTGTGGCCTCTGATGTCTCCACACCTCATCCAGCTGAACAGACTGAGAGGTGTCTATGAGTCCAGTGTCCTAGAGGATTCTGCATAGATCATCCCCCATTGGCACAGTCCTCTAGACATGATGGAGCGCTGGCTAGACGCGCCCCCACCCCCACAATGTGCTATGTCACTGAAGCAACAGGATTCAGGAACAAAGAGACTAGGGCTAGAACATACCATCTGATTCCTTGGGAAAGTGGAAATGACAGGTCCTGCTCCTAGGGTTGCTGAGAGAGGTGCTGAGGGGAAGGAACCACTGGGGCTGACACCCAATGGATTCACAGTAAATGACAGGGGTATTATCATATGCATGATCAGATTTCTATCACTATAACAAAATCCTGAGGCAGTTAATTTGTAAGAAAAAAGATTTGTTTTGTCTCTTGATTCTGGAGACTCTTGTCTAACATTAGGTTGTCCCATTGCTTTGGGTCTCTGGCAAGGACAGCACATCACACAGAATGGGAGCACATAGTGGAGCAAAATTGCTTGCATCACGAGCCAGAAAGCAAAAACAAGGAGGTCCACAATCCCCTTTGTGGACATGCCCTCAATGACCTCCCCCTGCGCTCCACCTCCCAGAGTTTCTATCACTTCTCAGTAGCACCATCCTGAGGAACAAGCCTTCACCACAGGGACCTCTGGAGGACATTCAACATTGAAACTAGCACATTATCATTTGCCTGACCTTTGGCACACATTTAAGAAGCTTTGAGCTGTGGAGCATGCCTGTAATCCCAGCAGCTTGGGAGGCTGAGGAAGGAGGATCATGAGTTCAAAGCCAGCCTCAGCAACAGCGAGGCACTTAGCAACTCAGTGAGACCCTGTCTCTAATAATGTATAAAAAAGGGCTGGGGACATGGCTCATTGGTCGAGTGCCCCTGGTACCAGAAAAAAAAGAAAGAAAGAAAGAAAAGAAGAATCTTTGGGTGGGCTGAGTGCAGTGGTGCATACCTGTGATCTCAGTGACTCCAGAGGCTAAGGCTAGAGGATCACATGTTGGCTAACTTACGAGGCCCTCTCTCAAAATAAAAATTGAAAGGGTTGGGGGATATAGCTTAATGATAGAGTATCCTTGGATTCAATCACCAATCAGCCAAGAAAAAAACTTTTGGGTAAACCTCATCTCAAAGCAGCTAATATATGCACTAGATTGTGATTTTTCCAACTCAACTCTGAAGTATATTTTCTTCCATTATCTGTGGGAATGTACCTTTTCTAAGAAAGTGACAATGATATTTCAGGGGGATGCAGAAATAAAAATCAAAACAAGCAGCCTCTGTGAGGTGGAATTTGTCAAAAGTTACTATTATAAGAAACTGTCTTGGGGTTTTCTAAGTTGAACATAAAAATGTGTCAGGAGGAAAAAGGGATCATGAAGTAAAATCTAAAGAAGTATAATTGTTCCAGTTGTAGTTTCTCAGACCATTGTTTCTCTTGTCTGTGAAATTAGTTGTTGCAGGGAGAGGGTATGAGAAGGTAGGAAGTGACTTACCTCCCTGCCTCCACATGGGGGATGTGATGCAACTGGAGAGCAGAGCACTTGTTTGCTATGTTCTATATGGATGTGCTTGTTTTCCCAACTTTAGCATGCTGAGCCCTTTTATCAATCAGCTTTCTATTACTGTGACAAAATACCTGAGATAATCAACCTACAAGGAGGAAAGGTTTGTTTTGTTTCACAATTCCCAAAGTTTCAGTCCATGCTCACTTGACCCTGTACAGTTGAGCATTTGTCTAATAGGCAGCCCCTCAGCCTATTTTTGTCTCAGAATTAATGAGTGCAAAATTATGCTTTAGTTCCCTTCTCTGGTGCATGAAGACAGGGCCCTTTGTGCATATGTGTCCCTGGCTTCTGGGGATTTAGTGGGAAATCTAAATTCTACTAGGTTGTAAGGACCACTTACCACCAGGCAGTAAAATCATTGCTTTAGTAACAAAAACAAAAATGGAAACAGAAAAAAAAAATGTTTTTGTAAATGGTGATTCTCCCTATTTTGAAAAAAAAAAATACATATTCAATCCCCAAATGGATGAAATCTATTATGAGAAAAAATGCACTGGGACACGGAGACTGGAGGCTTTTCCTTTCCCACCCCAGGTTCCATGCCCACATGGGCCACACTTGTATCAGGTGGCTGTGGCTGGGCTGGCTCTGACAGCAGTGGCAGGCATGTGCTGTGAGACAACCTGTGTTCTCCTCTCCATCTTTTCCCTGATCAACAGCATGGATGACAGGATGGAAGTTTGTTGCATCCGTGGTTTTCCTCCATCCACACTGACAGACCCTGGCTAGGTTCTTACTAATCCAGTTTGTAAAAGGAGATGGGAGAAAAGGACTGCCTCAGTCCACTTTCTGCTGCTATAACAAAACTTGAGAGTGGGCAGTTTCTAAAGAGTAAAGGTTTATTTTGACTCATGGTTATGCAGGCTGTAAAGTCCAAGGCTATGACATTAGTTATGTGCTCCAATATCTGAGATTTAACCCACTTCCTGAGAGAGCATTCTTCTGTTTATTACAGTGGGAATCAAACTTCAATGTGAGTTTTGGAGTGAAAAAACTGTATTCAAACACATCAGGGGTCATCCCCAAGATCATTCGTGGGCATCAGTATTTGTCCGCTCTTCAGTTGTTCATGACTTTCTCTTCCTCTTCCTCTTCCTCTAGCTATTACCATGTTAAAGGACAAAGAGCCAGGGTCATTCATCGTTAGGGACAGTCACTCCTTTCGAGGGGCCTATGGCTTGGCCATGAAGGTTGCCACACCGCCTCCTTCAGTCTTGCAGATGAACAAGAAAGGTGAGTTTCCCTGGAGTTGATTTCTTCAACTAGTCGATGCAGAATGTCTGTTGGTTCCTTTTGATGCAAATAAGATGGTAGATGACTTGCAGGAGTACTCACAGGTTTGCTTAGTATATATTTTTTCAGGTACATTTTCCTAAGTACTTACCTTATTTGAGAAGGAACATTATTTATATGTTCATTTTTAAATGTTTTGAATAGGTAATCCATTCCACTATTTAGAAATAAGAAAAATAGAACAAGGCATCTACTAAGGCACCCGGTTTCCATTTCAACCCTGTCCACCTCACCATCCCTCTCCTTCCTCGGGGAACCATTGGTAATATATTCTTGTGTGTCTTCTTACCGATTGTCCAAATGCAGGCAAATCTGTTTTTTCCTTTCTTTTCTTATATTAAAAGTAGTATATTATATGGTCTCTTCTTTGTGTGTATGTGTGGTGGTAGGAATCAAACCTCAGGCCTCACATATGCTAGGCAACCGCTCTACCACTGAGCCACATCTCCAGCCTGATGCAGTGTCTTATATCTATACCCGGTAGAGTATTTTTAGATTAATTTAATTTAGATTAATAGTTATACTGGTACCTGTCTAGGGTCCTTTGATTATCCCTTCTTAAGGAAAGGACTATGCCTTTCTACTGCTGTTGTTCCAGCACATTCTGCAAGGCCACAGTAGGATCTGAGTTACGTTTTAAGGATAAGGTAACGTTCTACTTGTTTGCTTTTCATTGATGTCCTTTTTTTTTCCTTGCTTTTTGTCTTGAAATACAACCAACCTAGATAAGTTTACAATGTCTACATGTATACTCAAACATGATTCTAAAGTCTATATGCATTAACCACAGCCCAGGATCAAGAATCTGCCAGGAAGCTCCCTGTGTCCCTCTTTGTCCTCTGTTAGAATCCAGCACCCCCACTGTTTTTAGGAATTCTGTGATCCCAGACCTGACTCCATGATGCCCTTCAGGCTGCCTCTGTGACCTTTTGCTATGTCTAATTAGTCTGGGAGCAGTCCCAGCTTCTGAAACAGTAATCATGTTTCTGGTTTGCTTTGGACTTCCCCTGCCTCAGCCATTTCTCTGCATCCCTGGTGCTGTGTACTCGGTATGGTACCTAGGAACCAGGATCTGATCATGATATATCCTCTTCGAGATCAGCGTATCATTGCATCTTTCCAGTGAATAGAACTGGGGAGCATGCTCTTTTGAAGGCTTCATGAGCTCATCCAGATGCTGCTGATAAGTACAGCCTCACAAAGCTGTTTCTCACCTCCTCCATTCTACCTTTGTATGGTCCTCCACGTTGAGAGCCTTAGCTGCTAACTGTATGGGTACACTCACTCTCCGGCTCTATACCCCATACACACTAATTCTATTCTAATTATTATATCAATACCACTGCAGACAGTAAACTACTAAGTAAAATGTAATGTTAAAATGTGTTTACATTAACTGCCAAAATAAGAATTTCTAAACGTTATATGTTTGCCTATAATGTTTTTTATTATAAAGTGAGAAAACTAATACAGTATCAGTTCTTTTGTTCTTTTTTTGATTCAGCATAAGATTCCCTTGTCATATTTTAAAGATTACTTATAACTGTTGTTTTCTTTCACTGTTTGTATCTTTTCCATCTTATGAATATATTATAATCTGTTCATTCCATTATTGGTGGATTATTGGTTATTGGTTTATTCTTTGTTTTCTTTTCCTCATCCTACCTGTTTTACTCCTCTGTTAGAATCTATATTCATCTTTCTTTACCACCCTATCACCAACTCCAAAGAAAGGAAATAGATTCTTTTATCCTCCCTGGGATTTGTGAACTAAGGGAACATCATCAAGTCATTAAGGAAGGTGTGTTATTCCTTTTCTGTAACCAAATAGCAGAGATAACTGACTTATAAAGAGAGAAGATTTATTTTGACTTATGGTTCCAGAGGTTTTAGTCCACTTGATGGCTGGGACATGAATTTAAAAAAAAAAAGGAACCAGGCCCTCATTGTCCCCTGCAAGGGCAGTATCCATGACCTAACTACCATTTGGCCCCAGCACCTCCCAATCTGGGGAACAAGCCCTTAATACATGGACCTTTGGGGAATGTTCTAGATCCAAACTATAGCAGAAGTGGGAAATCAGAATAAGCACAGATGTTGTAACTCCCTGTGTTTAAGGAAAATGAGACAGTTGCCTGAGTCCCTTAAGCTCCTAAGAATATTTATCCAGATCCTTGGATTAAACATCTGCTTAAAGATCCCTGGAGAAAATGGCTTTGGAGTTACACCTTGAAAAACATGAAGATTTGGTTGTGGAAGGGCCAATCTCTGGCATGGTAGAGGTGTTTCCAGAAAACCAAGATGGATTCCTCTTGGCAAAGGAAGTAGCATGTGAATGAAAGGGTGGGGAATCAGGTTGGAGGGCACATGGGGCTCAGTCAGAGCATAGATACGAAGCTATAGGTATTGATAGGATCTTGAAGTCAAGGAGGTGACTTGCACAGGATGAGAAGAACAATTAATCCTTGGAAAATCAAATCATGGAGCATCCAGAATTCCAGCATAAGAAGTTCAAACAATGCTACTATTGAGTGGAAATGCAAATTTTTGTAGCTGAAGAGGTGAATTAGCCCCGATGGTTGAGTTTTGCCAGGCCATATTTGGAAATTTGGTGGGTGATGATTATAGCAGGAATAAGTCTCAGGATAAGAACATCTGGTGAGTGGGTAGAGAGGGGAGGTTAATATGGTGGAACAGGCACAAGTGGACAGCAGCTCTGGGATTCTGCCTGGCTCCTTGGTTTCTATTGAACATTTTAAAGCAAATATATATTTACATTATCTTTTTTGGAAATACAGATGGTGGTATACAACTTTTCTGACCTCCAGGCATGCGTCCAGCCTCAGGCAGACTCTGGACTCAGTCTGAAAATGTAGGCAATGAAATAGAGGATATGAGAATAGCAGACATCAGGAACACCAGAATTTGTCACTGAAATTTTATCCGGCTTCTGTATTTTCACTCAGACCCTGGATTTGACATTTGCATTTCACAGGCCAGGGGCAGATTTTAGAGAAGGGTTTACCAGACTCATAAAGAGCCACAGTGAGTCACCACCACCTCTGACCACCCTGAGATGCGGACAGCTGCAGCCATTCAGGGTCCTGCTGTGCAGAGTGCCTGGCCAGGAGGATTTCCACTGGGCTGTTTCCCACAAGTGGCATCCAGACCCACCTCGAATCCATGGCAGTCCAGAGTCATGAGGCATTCTCCTCCCACAATGTCCACATGTCCTTTTTCCTCATTTTATTCAATGCAGCTTTTCATGAAATCTCATCATTTCCTTTACTGTAAAGCTTTACTGCCTGTGCAAAATGCTGACACTATAATTAATATTTGTCACTTAGTAGATGTCATTTAGGAGCCTACTACAAGTCAAGTATCCCTCATCTGAAATGCTCAGATTCACTAGTGTTTGAGATTTCTGATTTTGTGGGGGGAGGGTGGGGGTAGCTGGGAATTCTTGGAGTGTATTTGAGGGGTCTCCCAAAGTCCCTCTGCCCACTATATTGTCACTGTGGGGGTCTCTTCATCCGCCTGGCTCATCCCACCACCAAGCTACCATTCTTAAAGTGATTCTTGGTGAATCCCCAGTGCAGTAGCTAGAATTCTGTTTAGAAGGGGCCTTCTCAGGTACAGTTCCTTGCATTTGTGTCTCAAATTTCTCTCTTTCAAATCTTACCATGCTCCCATTTTTTTAAATTCTTCAGTTTTTGTTTTTATGAGTATATTATGGCTATACATACAGTGGGATTTATTTTGACATATTCATAGATGCATATAATAAAATTTGCCCCATTTCATTCGTTAGTACTTCTTTGTCTCCCTACCTCTCTTCCCCTGACCTCCTTTCTCTACCTGCCTTCCTTTCATTTATTTATTGCTTTTTAAATTGGTGGATTACAAGTGTACATAAAAATAGAATTTATTGTGATATATTCATATGTACATGTGCATAACAAAATTTGGTCTATTTTATTCTTCATTTTCTCCCCTTTCCTATCCTTTTTCCCTCCCATTCTCTCCACTTCTTCTATTCTACTGTTCTCCTTTCTATTTTCGTGAGATTCACCATTTTATTTATTCATTTATTTAGGTGGTTGAACTCAGGGGTGCTTAACCACTGAGCCCAGTCATTTTCATTTTTATTTTGAGACAGGATCTCACTTAAGTTGCTTAGGACCTGGCTAAGTTGCTGAAGCTGGCTTTGCAATCCTCCTGCCTAAGTCTCCTGAGTCACTGGGATTATAAGCATGCCCCACCACATTTAGCAATTCCCTGTAATTCCTTACTGCTCTCTAGCTTCCATATATGAGAGAAAACATTCAACCCTTGATTTTGAATCTGGCTTATTCACTTAGCCTCATGTTCTTTGTTTCTATCCCATTTACCAGCAAATGATGTAATGTCATTCTTCTTTATGGTTGAGTTAAACTCCATTGTATATGTAGACCACATGTTCTTTATCCATTTGTCTGTGATAGACACCTACCTGCTTCCATAATTTGGCTATTGTGAATTGTGCTGCTATAAACATTGGGATGCATGTACCACTTGAGTCGATTCATTTTTCAAAATTTCTTGCCACAGGTGGAGATTTGTCCAATGAACTTGTTCGGCATTTTTTGATCGAGTGTACCCCAAAGGGAGTGCGGTTGAAAGGATGTTCCAATGAACCATATTTTGGTGAGTCACTTGAGAGATTGCTCTCTATGTCCTGAATACTGGGGGCCTGGATTCTCCTCTGCTGGCTAACCTGAGATTTCAGACAGTCGTTTTTGTGGTGGTTCATTCATATTTCACTCCCCAGTTTCTGAGAATCCTCTGATCTGAAATACTGTCTTTAAGATAATCTGAATGTACAATGCATTCTTAAACACTTTGCCAAAAGCAAGTAAACAAAAAACACTGGGCTAATACTAGAAGTTACAGATGTCAACAAGGTATAGTCCTGTTCTGCACAAAGATAAGTCCTGATGAGTTGAACCTAGTGTGATCCCATCCCAAGAGCTCTAAGAGGCACATAGGGTTTCGGCAGAGCATCCTTTCTTACCTATATCTTAATAGGCCTCTGCAACCTCACAGTATTGCTGGACAGGCTGCAGGAGCCAGCTGTAGGAGGCACAGAGAAGAAGTAAGGCCTTGACATTATCCTGGCCTTTTTAGAGGCACTGTGTAGGGATGATGTATGTGGTACAAGTTGCATTTATCTTGATCTCATTTCAGATCCAGCCTACTGTATGATGTATTATTTATGCTTTGGCAATGATGTGTCTGTTCTAGGATCCACTGCAGTTCCCTTTACTTATCTCTTAGCTGACTTGTTGAACTTTTTGCTTCTTTGAAGTTGCCCAATATAATAGAATGTGTTAGTTGTGAAGACCTCAAGGCTCAGGCTTTGCAGCAATTTCATTTCATCTGATAGGGTGGCTGAGCACACAATGGGCTGAGAGGTTGTTAACCATGGTTTGCTTCTTCTGTCCTCTCCACAGGGAGTCTGACTGCTTTGGTGTGTCAGCATTCCATCACGCCTTTGGCCTTGCCCTGCAAGTTGCTCATTCCAGAGAGAGGTATGGGTTGGGGCCTCACTGCTGGACTGGCTCTGAGTAGGTTCAACTGCAATGGTCAAGGCACACCACTTCCAGGGATCTGAGGAGATCCATTGAGAAAAATTAGACTACTTTTTTTTTTTAATTTTTAATTTTTTTATTTTAAATGTATTTATTTTAATTTGTTATACATGATAGCAGAATGCATTGCAATTCATAGTACATATATAGAGCACAATTTTTCAAGTCACTGGTTGTACACAAAGTAGAGTCACTCCATTCATGTCTTCATGTACTTAGGGTAATGGTGTCCATCTCTTTCCACCATCTTTCCTATCCACTTTCCCTTTCCCTCCTGCTCCCTCCCCTTTGCCCTATCTAAAGTTCCTCCATTCCTCCCATGATCCCCTTCAACCCCCATTATGAATCAGCATCTATATATCAGAGAAACCATTCTGCCTTTGGCTTTTAGGGATTGGCTTACTTCACTTAGCATTATATTCTCCAAATCCATTCATTTACCTGCAAATGCCCTGATTTTATTCTCTTTTAATGCTCAGTTACACTTCTTTTTCTGACATGGGTTCTGTGTGTAAATCCAGTAGAAGAACTAAGGGTTCAAATCAGGGAGAAAAGAGGAGGCCCCACTGCAGCTGGAAACACACAGATATCTGTACATCATGGATTCCATTAAAGATTTCCATGCAGTAAAGACTGAAGCTAAAACAGAAACAAACAAAAACCTCAGACTAAGGGACCTTCAAGGCCATTTACATTTTATTTTAAAGATGCTACAGAATGGGCAGAATGTGGCTGGGCTTGGTAGTGCATGCCTGGAATCCCAGCAACTTGGGGAGACGAGTTCAAAGCCAGCCTTAGCAACTGCAAGGAGCTAAGCAACTCAGTGAGACCCTGTCTCTAAATAAAATACAAAATAGGGCTAGGGGTGTGGCTCTGTGGTTGGGTGCCCCTGAATTCAATCTCTGCTACCAAAAAAAAAAAAAAAGAATGGGCAAAATGTTGATATTGTTGAATCCAGGCGATGAATGAAACATTCATCACCTTTATCATCAAACATTATCATCAAATATTATTATGGATATTTTAAAATATCCATAATAAAATTTTTTTGAAAAATAACACCCACAGAATAACAGGCTGAATTGATTGTATTTCCCAGCTTTCTTAAGCAGTCTCATAAACTTTCACATAAAGATGTGACTTAGCTTTTGAAATTTAATTTTTCATATAAATTGTTTCAGAGATTAGAAGCAAATTTTGTTGGGCCATGTCTTCCCTAACTTTGTTTGGAATGTGATATTGCTTCTGTGGGCTGGATCATGGTCCTCAACAGAAATGCTCAGCTCTGGCTCTGGGAGACCATTGCGTGTCACCGTCTGGGAATCCTGTCACCAAATTGTCTGACTTGGTCCTGAGGGCTCTTTGTTGGGGGAGCAGCACTCATTTCTATGTTTTGTCATCCTTTCTTGCAGATCCATTGGAGGAAATAGCAGAAAATTCTCCCCAGACAGCAGCCAACTCAGCCGCTGAGCTGTTGAAGCAGGGAGCAGGTGAGTGAATGCAGCTTCAATTTCCATGTGTCGTCTGGTTGTTGGGCGGAAAAGGAGTTTAGTTGCAGAACTTCCCTTTCCCTCTCATTATTCAGGTTTCCTTCTTCTCTGTGGGCTGTGAGGGAAGTTTCCTTTTATAGATCGTTGCACAGAGCTGGGTGGGGAACGGCTGTCAGAGACAGGGCCAGGCATCACAGGCTAGAAATATTGTTCTGACTCTAAACAAGACCAAATTCAGTAGAATAAATGTCAAGTCCTGTATTTTAGTTTAAGGGAAAATGTAGTAAGACAGGATGTGGGTAACCTGCTTTGCCAGCTGCAAATATAAAAATGTTCCAGAGATGTGACTCAACAATCACTCGACGTGAGTCAACAGTTGGACTCAGGCTTCCATGTGTCTGGTGGGAGACACCACCCAGAGCCAGCCCTCCACAGACCAGGCCACTTTGTTAAAGCATTTTTATTAATAGTTTTACTTTTTAGAGCAGTTACAGATTCACAGCAAAATTGCATGGAGAGTACAGAACTATCTCATGCAGATGCACGTCCTCCCACGTTACCAGCCTCCCCACCAGAGTAGTGCAGTTGTTAAAATTGATGAATATCAATACATTAGTAACTAAACTACAGTTAGAGTTCCTTCTTGGTGTTTTGCCTTATATGGATTTGGGAACATGGGTATGGCATGTATCCATCATATGTACATACAGATTACATACATACATATCATCACCTCCCTAAAATTCCACTCTGCTCTACCTCTTTATCCCTCCCTTCCCTCTCATCCCCACCAACCACTGATTATTATCCTGTCTCCATGGTTTTGCCTCTTCCAGAATGTCTTATAATTGGAGTCATATAGTATGCAGCCTTTTCAGATTGGCTTCTTTCACTTAGTAATATGCATTTAAGTTTCCTCCATGTTTTTTCATGGTTTGATAGCTTATTTATTTCTAGCATGGAGTAATATTTTGTTGTCTGGATGTACCACAGTTTATGTCTCTGTTTACCTACTGAAGAACATCTGGGTTGCTTCCAAGTTTTGCCAATTATGAATAAATCTTTTAATAAATCTTTTAATAAACATCTACATTTGGGATTTTGTGTAGCTATAAGTTTCCATCTTCATACCAAGGAGTATGATTGCTGGATCATATGACAAGAATATGTTCAATTTTGCAAGAAACTGAAAAACTGTCTTCCAGCATGGCTGGACCATTTTGCATTCACAGCAGCAATGAATGAGAATTCTCATTCCACATCCTCACCAACCTTGGCTGGTGTCAGTGTTCAGGATCATGGTTATTCTAATAGATATGGATTGATATCCCATTTAAACCTATACTTCCCAAACGTTGTAGAGCATTTTTTCGCTTGCTCTTTTGTAATCTGCAAAATGATTTTCTTTGGTGTAGTATCTTTTAATTTTCTTTTGGTTCATTTTTAATTGGGTTGTTTCTTATTACTGAATTTTGAGTTCATTGTATGTTTTAGATAACAATCCTTAATCAGATTTGTGTTGCCCACATATTTTCTCTCAATCTGTGGCTTTTTAAAAAATTCTTTAGACAGCATCTCCTACAAAGCAAAATAGTTTTAACTTTTATAAAATTTAGTTTTTAGTGTCATATCTAAAATGTTACCCTCAAACCCAAGTTAATCAAGTTCATCTAGATTTTTTTTTTCTGTTATCTTCTAGGACTTTTATAATTTTGCATTTTTTGGGGGGTCTCTGATCTATTTTGAGTTAATTTTTGTGAAGAGTATAAGAAAGTCTACATCTAGGTATAGTTTTTTGGAGGGAGTGGGGTTTGGAATTGGATATTCAATTGTTCTCACATTATTTGTTGGAAAGACTATTTTCTCCACTGTGTTGTCTCTGCTCTTTGTCAAAGATTAGTTGATTATCTTTATATGGATCTATTTCTGGGCTTTATATTTTGTTTCATTGATTTTTGTCTTTTTTCCTACAATACCCTACTGTCTTGATTACTACAGTTTCATTAGAAGTCTTGAAGTTAGGTAGTATCAGTCCTCCAACTTTCCATCAATATTGTGTTTGTTATTCTGGATCTTTTGCCTTTCCATACAATCTTTAGAACCAGTTTGTTAATATCCACAAAATAACTTGCTTGGGATTTTGATTAGGATTGCATTATATCTACACAAAATTGGGAAGAACTGGCATCTTGACAGTGTTGTGAATGCCAATGCTTAAAGTTACATTATATCTCCATTATTTAGTTCTTTGATATCTTTCATCAGAGTTTGTAGTTTTTCTCATATAGATCTTATGTATAGTTTGTTAAATTTCTATAGAAGTAATTCTGAGGGTGTTCATATAAGTGATATTGGGTTTTCAATTTTACATTCTCCTTCCTTATCACTGGCGTTAGAAATGAATCAACTTTTGTATATTATCCTTGTATCCAGCCACCTTGTCGTAATTGCTTATTAGTACCAGGACAGGCCACTTTTGCAGCATTAGGTGCAGTTCTATTGGTTCTAGATTAAAAGGGTTGTGAACAAACCAGACAACATTTGGCAATCATAATTCCACAGAAGAGAAGGATGAACACAGCTAGAGAAGACATTGGGTCCTGCTCACTTCAAAACTGCTTGTTCCCCATTGGAAGTGTTTCATACTGTCTTTCATTTTACTGTCAGAAATGTTGGAGACGAAATTTGTGATTCTGGTGAAAGTTTGGACTAGAAATATTTCAATTTTGTGACACATTCCTATAAAATAATTTATAGCTATTATAACTCCATAATGAAGAAATATGTGGCTATTTTTCTTGTTTTTTTCCTCTGTACATGTTGTATTATTCTATCTAGTTTTTTCCTACAAAATTTTATATTACTGTGCATATTGCCCAGCCAAAGTAAAATTACTTTCGTTTTAAGTGGAATGTTCTTAGTGTCCTTAAAAGGTAAGTTCATACTGTCTCCTTAAAGGATAACTTATCTGTGACTTAAACATGTGACAGGAGCTAGTAAGTATGCTAGAACTTGAATTTCCAAAATGAAGAGTGTTAACTGTGCTATTTCCTGAGCTCAAGCCTGGCTCTGCCACTCAGAATATTGATCTCTGATAAATCACTTAGCTGTGTAGAACTGAGGTTTACATCTGATAAATGGTAACAGTAATCTGTGCCCACACGGGGATTGCAAAGAACAAATGAATAAAAGTTGAGAAATGCCTTGGAAGTTATTCTTCTGGCCTAAGAGGAATATCCTTTCCTAGGCCACCAGCCTGATCCTCTCCTTTGAGAGAGTGGATACCCCTTGTAGCATGGCTCAGCTGGGAGGCTGTGGAAGGCACTGGAAAGGAGCTCAGAGCCCCCAAGTTTGTTTTAGGTGATTACTGGAGCCCTCCAAGGCTTATAATCTCCTTCTGTTAGTTAAAGTGTGAGCATAGTCTCATATCCCTGGTGACCAGGATATGGGAATTTGCTGACAGCCTCCCAAGTACAGGTTCACCCACACACCTCACCTAGAAGATAGGCCTATGGAATCAAATCCATTCTGATTGATTTGTTCATTCAGATCCATCTTTTTAAAATGTATTTACAAATTTAAAAATATGTAATTACTGCAATTCGTACATCAAGAAAAATATAGAAGAAAGATCATGGCCACAGTCCCAAAGCATTTGCTCTGGCCCAGCTAGATAAGTGCCTTCCTCACAGGGCCTGTGTGGCTAGGGCCATCTCGTCCCATATCGCTGACAGAGCACCTAAAGTAGTGGCCTGAGCTCCTGAGAAGTGGAGTCAGCCTGGGCATCTTGCTTCTGTCTCCAAGCTCCTCTGTGTCTTGAGGGACACAGCTCTGGTCTTTTGGTCCCACATAGTTAGCACCAAAGCACCTTTATCTCTGCATTCAGCTCTTTTTGTTTAATATTTTCTCATCACAAACAGCATTTCAGGTATCTCCTTGAGTTCCTTGTTATCTGGATGGGTCAATTAGCTAATAATAATAAATTACTATAGTAACCCTTATTTTTAGAGATCAAAACTTTCTCTCATACCATTTTTAAATACACTTTCTCATTTTTTTAAATAACATGTAATACATACCAATAACTTTGATCTTGTTATTTTATTTAAAGGGTGGGTGTTCTTAGAGATAAGACTTCATTTGGAATTTTCTTGTCTGACCTAATAATCTGAATTAAGCATTATATATGAGGCTTAAATTAATGACTGCTTTGAGTCCCTTTAAAAATCTCTGATTTCTCTAGCACTTGGATAGCTCTGAATTTCCATGCAGCTGCTGTGACAAAGAATCAAGATTGCATATTGAACCTCTGGGAGGTTCCATCTTTGCCTGGAGGAGTAGCTGTGGTTGTTTAGAAAAAGTCCAAAACAGCTATTGTATCCAGATTGTGGAACTAGGCCAGTGATTGGTGTCTCAGGCCTATAATCCTAGTGGCTTCAGAGATTGAGGCAGGAGTATCACAAGTTCAAAGCCAGCCTCAGCAAGTTAGCAAGACTCTGAGCAATTCAGCAAGACATTGTCTCAAAAAGGGCTATGGAAGTGGTTCAGTGGTTAAGCACCCCTGGGTTCAATACCTGGTACAAAAAAAAAAAAAAGATTGTGGAACTATTTCAATCTCTGATCACTGCAAGTGTGTTTTGCTTCTGAATTTCATTTGTCATTCAGTTCACTCAGGATCCTGTCTCCTGGACCTAAAACGTCCTTTAAGACTCTCATGTCCGTGTTCTTCATTGATTGAGCAAACCAAGACTCAAACATATTGGCAGAGTCACAATAATGGGAATAAACTTTTAGTCCCATTCAGTTTAATCCCTTTTTATTTGATACAAGGCCATCATGACTTTGTTCCAATCTCAAAACAATGTCTGATTGTGTTTTAAGCCTCAGCTCTTAATTGTTTCTTGTTGAGGAGAGGAATCTAGGATAATCCTGAAAAGAAAGGCGCTTTTACCAGACTTCTGATAGATTTCCTGTAAATATCGTGGTTATGTTTTTCAACTTAGCATTGTGTAAGTATAATTTCTTTGTAAAAGTCCTATGTGTTCTGTGTGTTCTTGAAGTTAAAAAGAGGGATATACATAAATGAAGGGTAACGTGAATTTCTCATAGACCTGTGACCCCATACGGCTGCTGAACATTGGGAAAATAGATCTGGTTATTATTCTCCCAACCAGAGACCATTCTTAACGCTAACCAAATTTGTTCATATTATCTCCCCTCCTACTTGGGATTGTGCCACATGTACGATTCTTTTTATATTCCTTCCAACTCTTTGCATAATGAACTTACTCATGGTTTTTACAAACATAGCGCTGGACTCATTTTTTAGTGGCTATGTAATGGTCATCATGTAATTCAACTCTTTATGGTTGTCCATTTAGACTAATTTTTCAATATTATAAATAACACTAAGAAGACTTTAATTCTGCTTTCTTTCTTTTTTTTTTTTTTCTCTTTTCTGAATTCTGGATTGTTGCCTTAAGAGAAATTCCCAGAAATGGTACTATGGGGTTATAATTTGTGGACCTGAGATGTTTTTCCATGTTATAAAGTTGCTTTCCCAGAATAATCTAGCAATTTGCATAGCTCCCCGCTGTGGGTCTGAAGGACACTTTCCTACTTAACATATCTTGAAACACAATGAGGCACAGTCATGCCAAATCTTGACCCCCTCACCAAGAGTACTTGTCAAGTGGACTTGGATGGTTCTGGTGTAAGCATGGTAGGAGGAGCACAGCTCTGACCCTGCAAGCCATCTATTATCTGCTGGAGAGAGTCAGGGCTTTGGGAGAGCTGGTATTGGCACCCTGGCATGTCCTTAGTAGAACTGCCTCCCTAAATGAACATTGAAAAGTGGCAGTGTTTCTTTCTCTGCTTTGAGGAATGACTACGTGGCTCCTTCCTTCCTTCAGAAGCCTTATTCCTCAAATGCCACATTCCCACTAGACTCCAGTCAGTTGGACCACACCTACTCAAAAGCTCTCTGTGGTGCCTACAGGAGAGCACAGATCTCAGTAGTGGTAGCCCGTGATTCCATGTGAACTTAATTCTGGTTGTGCCAACTCTGGAATTTTCATAATAGTTAGATTCAAAATTCTTTCTCTTGCTTTTCCCATTCTTTTCTCTTTTATAGCTGCATGATCAGCATGATAACAATTAAAGGTAGAATATTCACTCTCCTAAAAATCTGTTTTCAATTTCCCAGGCTTCTTTCCAGCTTCTGTTCATAGCACATATGCTTTTCATTTTATTTTTCTAATCATAGTAAAGATAGTTTTTATTCTGTTTTTCCAATTACCTGCTAACCATTTTTCCAAGTTGCTATATAATTTTCATGATTACCATTTGCTGGTTGCTTAGTATTTCATTGAGGGGACTAATTTAAACCTCCTCTTATTTTTGTGTGTAGGTCTGTTTACAGTTTCTCTCTCTGCAGTGAATGTGTGGCACAAACCTCTTCCCCCATAGGTTAATTGTTTCATGTGGGTAATAGATATTTCCTTTCTGAATCTTTTCAGAAGTAGGACCTCTAGGTTCCTTGTCGCTTTCTGGATTCTCCTGATAATATTGTCAAATTGTCATCTACAGTATGAAGTTGAGGTTTCCAAATTCTCTATATGTCTCATATTTTACAAATGAGCTGTGAAATATAGCCTGTGTCCAGGGTGCACCAGCACTTCACAAATGCACCTGATTCATCAGAACTTTGTAAGCACAAAGCAGAGGCAATTATAATTTTAAGGACTTTTGCCAATGTGCTGTCTTTCTCAAGAGGACTGAGGCAAACCACTGAGGCTTGTAGTTCCCCTAGAATGTCTTCTTGCCTAGATACTATAAGATGAGTATACTGGTCAGCTCAGGCTGCTTTATCAAAGTACCACAGACTGGGTGGCTTATACACAGTGGAAATGTGTTTCTCATGGTTCTAGAATGTGGATATCCAGGATCAGAGGGCCAGCATGGTGGGGTGCTGGTGAATGCTTTTCCTGGCTTACTGAAAGCCTCACTGTGTCCTCAGATAGTGGAAAGAGAACCAGAAACCTCTCTGAGGTCTCTTTCATGAGCTGTACCCTCATGACCTAATCACTCCCCAAAGGTCCTACTTCCCCAAATCATCTTGAGAGTTGCGTTCAAAATGTGAAAATTTTAGAGACATAGATTTTTAATCCATTGCAACAAGTGGCAGTGCTGGCCAGCTGGATGGGGTGGAAATCATGGAAAAGAGCACTGTTTGCCATGGAAATCTTTGAGCTGAACTCAGCCAGACAGGGGAATGACGGATTTCTACCTGCCTCTCAGCGTCTCTGTACAGATGTGACAATGGCCTCCCGAAAGAATGCATCTGTCATCATGATAAAGACAAGGATTATCCTGGGGCCTGATCTGAGAATTCTGCACCACCAGGGGCCTCACAGTGTAACTGCCCAGTAATCCTCAGGAATATTATATGAAATTTCTTAGTGCAGGTCCCTATCCAATGCCTGGTACCTAATAGGTTCTCAGTAAACACTGGGGTCTGCCATGAAGATTGTGTCACAGCACGATCACAGTGACCTGCTCCTAGGGCCTGGGAGACTGCCCATGCTTCTTACTGTCTCTGTCCCTCAATTTCCTTATCTGTAAATTGGAGATAAGGATAGACTCTTCCTCTTAGAGCTGTGTGCGGGTTCCTATTAACATTAGGTGTTAGGTTGAGCTCAAAAGAGTGAAAACAATTGAAACATCTTTTTAAAATTTTGCTATTGGGACAGTGCCATTTCAATAATTACAGGGGTGATTACTTTTTAATAAGAGTAAAAGCAAAGTTAACTTTTTATAGAAGAAAATTAATATCCCAGACAAAACCCCCATATTAAGTATAAATTCAGGAAGTCCTATTGTTTTTGTTTTGTTTGAGATGCTAGGAATAAACATAGGGCTTCATGCATGTCGGCCAAGCCCCCTACCACTGAGCTACACCCCCAGCCCTAGTCTTGTTTAAAAGCAATAAGAGTCACTTGTCTCAGTCTTTGAGACAGTTTGCTTCCTGGGGTTGAGGGTGGTCCTCTGGTATCTGCTGCCTTCCTCAAGACAGGGCCTTTCAAGGGTCTGTGAGGCTTCTTTCTGGACCCATTTCAAACTCTCACCACTCTTGGATAAAGGAAGGAGCTTCATTTTTCAGATTAGCTTGTTGATGTAAATCCCAGTCCCTGTTTTCCTTCCCTGTCGTGGTAACTGTGCGTGCTCACTGAAGTAGAGGTTTCCAAATTCTCTGTGTGTCTAAAACTTTACACATGAACTATGAATTATGGCTGGTGCTTAGAGAGAAGGAACAGGTGAGCAGCTGACATGTGGCCTGTGCTTTGACTCCCAGGGCATCTTCAGTGACTGCCACTCTCCCTGGCTCCCTTGTGGTCCTGTGTATCAGTGCACCTGCCAACAGGCATGGCCCCTGCTCATTCATTCCAAGGCAGAAAGAGGGCAGAGCTGCTCACTGAATACCTGGCCAAGAGGCAGCAGCTCAACTGAATGCTGACTGTTCATGTCAGCCGATGCATTGGTTTGGATCAGGGAGAAGCATTTTAGTTTTCTGTATAATGAAATTCTGTGGAGGCCTTTGAACTGGAACTTACTCACCCCTGTTCCCCAATCAGAAGCTAGCATACAGTAAGGAGGAAGATGAGCCAGGGCAGTTCTGCTTATATCCATCCATTTTCTATTGCAATAATAGAAAATATTCAGGAATGTTGAAACTGGGTAGTTTACAAAGGAAAGAGATTTAGTTTGGCTCATGGTTCTGGAGGCTGAAAGTCTAAGATCATGGAGGCAGCATTTCCTGAACCTCTGGTGAGGGCCTCATGCTATTTCAACTCATGGTGGAAGGCAGAAGTGCAATTGGGCATATGCAGAAGGGAAAGCAAGAGAAAGCTGAGGAAGCAGACGTCAATTCTTTAGCACCCCCCTCTTCACGATGATGTTAACTTAACAGGCCAATCATCTTTGGCCACAGGAGTCCCTGGTTTTTCCTGAAGTAAGAGAGCTTCAGACAAAGCCTGAACATTGCCCCTTTGGCTCTGATTTCATCCACATTCCAAAGTCCCTTGTTAGCTTTTGCTCCAGCCACAGGGATACAAGCCAACAGGGAGTGCCAGAGTTGTCAAAGGCATATTTATATCTAGTCATTTTTCTTCACCTGAGGGGAGATGGCCACAGAGAAGACCCCAAACCCTTCCCTAGCAGTGTAGAATGTTGGGACACAGGTGAAGCTGTACTCTAAGCTCATGGCAAATCATCCATTCTCTTAGCAGCCCCTTTTGAATACCCTTTCAACAATCTGGGGCAGAACAGTTATTTGGATTCCATAATACACGGTCCCCTTACTATGTTACCTGGAGGACCTCTGGGCTTCCTTTTCTCTGACTGTGCTGGGCTTTGATGTCCAATCTGCTATCCAAATCCCCATTGAGGCCAGAGAAGGTACTTCAAGGCCCCCTAGACACCAAGTTTAAATCTGCAACAGGGTGAATGGAGCATTCCTCCCTCCGACTGAGGGTGGCAAAGCTGGGCCGTGCTCTGGCAACTTGTTCATTCTCCATGTTGGCACTGAGGCAAGTGCATCTTTGGGTGGTTCACTGTTTACTCCTTCAGAATTGGAGTGAAGGACATTTGCTTTTAAATGGACCTAGCACAGGTCACATGTGCAAGTTGATCATAAATTCAACCTCTACATGTCAGCAACCACCAGTGTGTAAGTAGATCATAGATCACCCTATAGTCACAGCTAACCTGCGTGCCTTTGGTGTCTTGCAGCCTGCAACGTGTGGTACTTGAACTCCGTGGAGATGGAGTCCCTCACTGGCCATCAGGCAGTTCAGAAGGCCCTGAGCATGACCCTGGTTCAGGAGCCACCCCCAGTGTCCACGGTAGTGCACTTCAAAGTGTCTGCCCAGGGCATCACCCTGACGGACAATCAGAGGAAGTGAGTACTGTGGGGGGAGAGTGGGAATGTCTAGGGATGGGGCTGCTGATCCCAGCTGGGAATGTAACCTCCCCCACCTCCCCCCTTGCTCTTTTCTGGTGTGAATGGTCATCCAGATAAAACCTAGTGTTCCTTGAGGTTATTGGTAATCCAACCTCTCCATAGGCTGTTGCCTGTCATTAAATAGGTCTTTAAATAAGTCTCAGGAACCTCACATAAATCATTAGTACCTGTCCTGAAAGTTGCACACTTAGGAATTAGTAAATTTAAAGAAGAAAGATATTTGGTGCTATGAATATTACCTATGAAACATTTGCAAATACAACAATTTTTTTACTACATTACTTTAAAGATACCCTGAGGCTATGAACAGAATCCCCTGATTCTGGTGGTCATCTGGTTTCAGATGAGAGTATGATCTTGATACATATTGTTTGCTTTGGTGGAGTTTAAAGGACTCTGATCCAGGTTGTTACTATTGCTAATTAACACTGGAGTACATGTTTACTTCTCCAGGACCAGCAGGGAGTAGTCACAGGCTGGTCCTCCCACTGACCCTCCTTGAGATCTCTTACCCAAGGAGCCTTTGACCTCAGGATCAACAATATGTCAGATACAATTAACAAGGAGTTGGTTAAGAAATCAGCATTGTATGACCGAGTAGGAAGGCAGGTTATCAACTAAAAACACAACGAGATGGCAGGACCCCTTTCAACAGACACATGTACCCACAGGACACCTTGTAGACCAGCTCAAGCCCTCTGCCTATGATGCTGTCCTGGCAGGCCCCCACCCTCTGTAGTGCCTGCTCCAGGACCTGTCCCTCAAGCTGGATGATTTCTTCAGCTGCCCAAACTTCTTGGGAAATTGAAGATGGAAAAATTTCTTCCTATATCAAAGAACCTACCTCAGAATTTGAGCCACTCAAATAAAAAATAGCACTGGGCAAGTACCCTGCAGGACTCAGCCCTTGAGAGATGAGCCAGTGCTCTAAGATCTCTTACCATATTGGGCGCCATCTTGAGAGGATGTGGACTGCTCTCACCATGCCTTCCCTCTTTACCAATGAGGAGACCAACGCTTGGAGATAGTTATGGTTTGCCCACAATCAGAAGAGGCTGGTGAGACCCAAGGTGATTTCCTGTGTCTATCTCACACCCCTCTAGTTCCTTAAGACTCCTTGATTAGATCCCCATTTCCATCAGCTGACAGTTTGACCTTATATGGTACTGCTGTTGGCTACTTCTGAGAATCATTCTGTTCACCTTAATATCCTCTGTTGATTGTTAATGTGCATACACTTCATTCCTCTTTCCAAATGACAAGTCTATCAATAGGTTTACCTCTCTATGATGTTCACATATGAGCAAATGGGAAAGTCTACCCAGCACAACACCCATCACCCTAAACCCCAGTAATGGGATTGGTTCTCTCTCTCCCACACGTCCACAGGCTCTTCTTCCGGAGGCATTACCCTGTGAACACAGTGATTTTCTGTGCCTTGGACCCACAAGACAGGAAGTAAGATATTTGCATTTTTATTAAGCAAGATGTGAACTTCATTTCACCATTTAATTTTAAAAATTAATGCGATTCTTTTCTCTTTAATTCATAAGGTGGATCAAAGATGGCCCTTCTTCCAAGTAAGTTGCCAGCATTTTCTTCCATTCTTTTTGTATTTGTAGTTGTTGAATTCTGTTCCACTTTCCAAAGAGGATTCCTCATGAGAAAATAACACAGTCATGTCAATGGGATCATTTGCTTTAAAAAGAAAAAAAACAGGAAGAAAGGAAAAGTGTGGTCCTTATGGAGTAAAGGCTGGGTGCTGTTCACTGCCCTGCACCCCTGGCTGACTATTTTGGGATATATGCAGCCATATGTATTGCGCAGGCTCTTCAGCCATTTGAGGGCAGGAGTGTTGCAGAGTAGAGCTGAGGTCCTCTGAGCTAGAAGGCAGAGCTTTATGCTCAGCATACCAAAGGCAAGGGAGGAGTCTTCATCTCCCTATTGTTGGGCAGGGGCTTATTCCAAGCCCAGCATTACCTTAGAGGGACCACATCCTAACCTCCCACTCAGAGATGTAACAGCAACTCCCAGGTTGGCTTCCTCTGTGTAGTCTAAATTGAATGACCACAATTGTCTGACAATGGTCCTCCTTCCCTAAGATTCCTATTTCAGGTTCCTCATTAGTCTAGGGAGCTGATCAGTGATTTGGGCCTTTTCCAACCCCCTAGAGGGAGTGTATTCTGGGCAAACTCTGCCCTCCGACTGGCAGGTTAGCATGGGGCTTTCATCTGCTTGGAATTTTCGACTCCATCGGGGTTACTTGAGTGTCCTTGGCCAGTCCCTTCTGCGGTATGGAAACTGCTAAGTGGAAACAAAAAGTCCTTCATTTTTCCAAGAAAGAGAAGAAAGATCTTTGCCAGAGATTTAGATTTGGAGAATGGTTGTTATTGTGTTAAGTTTAGGACTCCTAAAAGCCTATTAAGATAATGGCTTCAATTCTTAGAAAAATAATTAGATGTGTGTTCTTTTTAAACAGCTTCCTGAACTGGGCATAGTTTGCAACCCGGGCTTGCGGGCTTGCGAGGCCTGAGAAGAGTTCTTGGAATATTTCCCCTCTGACCTAAGCCAGTTCAGGGGTGGGGGAGTCCAAGTCAGGGAAAGGCCTGGGGGCAGCTGGCATCATCTCAGGAGTCCCTGAGGCCCTGCTTCTCCTCTTGGGGTCTCCAGTCCTGCATGTTCAACTGAAGCTCAGGAATCTGCCTGGACATTGCCTGGAGGATTCCAGCCTTAAATGGGGAAGTCACTGTGGAATAAGTTGAGCCTCATCTTTGATTTAGGGCAAGGGGCTGTCACTCCCCTTTGGTCAACTCCAGCTCCTCCCTTTAGAGCAGAACTCCTTCATTTTACCTGCAGATCCATAAGTTTTACAGGTGAAAGTGTGTGGACAGGCACCTGGCCAGTGCCAAACATATGGTAGCTTTTCCATACGTTGCCACTAGCAGCCAGAGAAAGTGGAGGGTGGAGGCTTATCCACTTGCTTGTCCTCTGCAGGAGGCCAGAGGGCTGCTCTCACTTGGACTTTCCTTTTGCAGAGTCTTTGGCTTTGTGGCCCGGAAGCAGGGCAGTGCCACAGACAATGTATGCCACCTGTTTGCCGAGCACGACCCTGAGCAACCCGCCAGCGCCATCGTCAACTTTGTGTCAAAGGTCATGATTGGCTCCCCAAAGAAGATCTGAGATCCCTCCTAACCCAGACCCACTGGATGCCTCTCACAACCTTCAAGACAGCAGTGGGGTCAGGTGGGGCCCCCAGTTTGTACCAAACTGATAATCATGGCATTTTAGGCCCAGGAGGGGAAAGAGATCTGCCAACTTTACCAAACAAGAACAAACAACGTCACCATGCATTGGCCTTCCCTGAGAATAACTTCTCGTCCTACACATCTCTGTAACCGGGTACTTTTTGGGTGGAAAGAACTGGGCACAAGGCATGCCTACTGAGGGTCCAGAAGGTTCCCAGCATACCAGCATCTGTGAGAATGAGAAACACCCAGCTCGCTTGGCAGGAAGCTGAGTGATCACAGCACCCCGCCATCATCAGAAGCACCCCTGCCCATGAATGCCCAAGGCCAGTGGTCTCCCTCACCATGGTCTTCCCACCACAGAGATGTTGACAAAACCCAGGAGGGAATGAATGTTTGACGAAGGTTCGCGTAGGTCAGATCCTTCCGGAACACGGCGGGGATGTGAAGGAGGCGAAGGAGGTGCGGGCTGTGAGGATGAGGGTGGTGAGGACCTTTTGGCATTGTGGAGAAGCAGGGGATGTCAGACCCCACCCGTATTGTGGTGACGACTCTACACTCTCGCTTACATATGGCGAGCAGGCCGGGGAGGACCCTGAAGGGAGAAATGAGAAAACAGAAATGAAAATGCCATTTCTATGTAATTTATATTTTACTTATGCCAAATTATTTATATAACAGTTTGCCATTGCTATACTGTACCAGTGTCAAATGCTGCAGCCGGCCAAGCTGTGACTTTTAGGAGACTCATCCTCCTGTAAGACACACACCACAGGCCCCTCGCCCCTGAAGTAGAAGGTGAGCTGTGGACTCAGGGTGATGCCCTGAAGTCCCCCACATGTGGTGCTGCCAAAAGGTTGTTTTGCCTCATGCAGCCTTCACCTGTGCTTCCTGGGGGATGTGTCTTCCGATGGAGGATGAGCTCCTTTTTGATGGGGAAAGTCCAGGGTGGGGGTGGGGTAGGGGTGGGAAACATTGGGGTCAATCTCAACATTCCCTATGTGGGCTTGATAGGGGGTCACCTTCAGGCCTGGGCTTCACTGTTGTCAACTCTTAGGATACTGCTCCTGGCAGCACCTTTGGATTCTTGGTGGATTCCTATGTGGCATGGCATGTGGGAACAGAAAGGAGAGAAAGCATGAACGCTAGTGCCTAGAGGCTGTTTTGGATGCCACTTAGCTGCATCCTCTTAGCCACCTAATCAGTTGTGACATTCCATGCTTAGATGTGTATTCCAGGGCAGTCAGCGACCAGAGGTTTGGAGAATGCCGATGACCCTGGCACTTCCCCAAAGCAAAAGATGGAGCTAGGCCACTTGGAGACAGAGCCTCCATCTGCCTTCCTCAGAATCCGGTGTGCCCTGCAGACACTCCAGTCATTTGCATTGTGTCACATTCTGAAATTCCCGTTCTATTGCTTTTAAAAGTTCAGTCCTAGCTGGTAGGCCACACAGATACCACAGGCTACAGTTGTTAAACTGGGGTTTGGAAATGTGAATGGTGGATTCTCTGTTTTAAAGCGATGGGTAGAGGATGATGTAGCTACACGCAGAGTTGGAACCACCTGAATCATGATGGGCATCATTGTGTGTGTGTGTGTGTGTGTGTGTGTGTGAGAGAGAGAGAGAGAGAGAGCGCACAAGTAGACCCCTCCACTTTTAGCTCCTATCGATGCACCACACACAAGTGCCTCTTTTCTGTGCCAAATGTTTGCCTTGGTCTTCAGAGACCTCCTTTCCAGATGCACACTAACGTGGCTATTAGAGATGATGTGCCAATGTTACCTGGAGGCTCTAGTGTCTTCAGTGGAGAGTTCCAATGTTTCATCTTTGCATCCACTGCAGGAATCTGGGGAGCTAAGGTTTGTGCTGTCCTAAAGAAGTTCCGTATCCTATGGTGGTTTATCCCCAGGTGTGACCAAAAAGGACAGAGGGAGATTAGAAATCAGAGCAGGACATTGTGCACTATTCAGAAGCATAACTTGTGGGTGAATCACAAAGATACTGGGGCCTCCTGCGAAGGTCCTCCTGGAGCACATTTAAGAAACCTTGAAAATCTTCTTTTTGAACTGACTGACCAGGTGTGCTTTTCACTCAAGATAAATGTGCTCAAGGGCATCAAGGAATTTGCTTCAAGCAAAGAGCTCCCTTGGAGGAACCACATGAAGCCAGTTTCCAATCTCCTATGAGATGGTGCAACAGGTTTCTTTCTTCCTCATATGTGTTAAACAATGAAAGGAGTCCCCATTCTCCCAGGCTGTACCGGGCACCCAGAAACACTAGACAAGGAGTATTCTCCAGTCATTTTGTTCCTGGGGCTCCAGTTGGGCACAGGCATATGGTCTTGGGAGTAAGTGCGGTGGGTTCACAATAGCGATGCCCAATACTTAGGATAACCAGGATCTTTAACCTACTCATTAAACAAGGTATTGTATTCCTCCAGTGTTAAGCTATAACCGTGTTAAAAGTCACACTGCATTTATCCTCAGTGTCAAAGACCTTGTAACGTCTCCTATCCGCCTTACCTGTTAGTGCGTATTTTTACTTTTCTGATATTGTAAAAAATATATATCCAGTATGTAAAAATGTTCTATAAATCCTTTGTATAGTCATTTTCTCTGCTCTTTAAATATCATCTCTATTCAGAGTATAATAAAAATTATGAACTTGGTAAGCCTTTGTGAGACAGGCATTTTGTGTGCCCCACAGTGTATGTTGTGTGTATGTGTGTGCATGCGTACGTACATGAGTGTGTGTATATATGATATATGTGTGTGGGGGGTCTATCTCGGCATGTGTGTGCCTGTGTTTTTGTGGATTGATGGATTTAATTATAAGTGAACTTATATTTTATTTTCAAGAATATATTTTAAGATCACTGCCCAAATACCTTCAAAAATTATATTTAAAGATCAAAGAAATTAATTACAACATGCAGTGTTGATGATAGGTACTGATATGTGCTGATGTTGCTATAAGTTCCTCACACACACTTGTGTGTGTTGCAGGAGTATGCCTTGGAGTGGACAGTCCCCTGACAGTGCCTACTTAGTGTCTGAATACTGAAAGTTGAAAGAGGTAGATACAGCCCAGACATCAAGACTTCCTGCAGGGTTCTCCCCTCTCCAATCCTATGGAGGCTCCTCCCTCTGTGGGGAGAGAGGGTCATTATCAGTCCTGCTAGCTCTCTGCCCTCTCTGGCTACCCTTTCCCTCCTGCATCAAGGGACAGGACACAGCTCTGCCCAGTAGCAGACGTGTTGGGCTCAGTTTGGTCATGGACAGATAATGATTTCAATTGGCTGCCACTCTCTCCAGCTTCATATTTCCTATCTTCATGTTTAGCTCAGAAGAATTTGACTCTTCATTGTGATGAGACACAGGAGATCATTTCATTGTCACTGCACTTGGATCAGGAAGGTGGGCTTGAAATGGTCCCAGTACTCAGAGCAGAAGGGACAGAAAACAGTGGCAGGTTAAATTTTGCCCAACAGGAGGCTCCTGATGGGTCCCTAAAGCCAGTAACTGCCTAGATCTGGAGCAGCGTCCTTGCAAGGCATGAGGTGGGTAGGGCATGGGTTTGGCAATCTACAGAATGTGATTTCTAAAAACAGTCAATATTCATCACAATGGCCAGACTCATAGGGCACACACAAATCCCTAAGTCCACACAGGGGACTATTGGACCCAGCAGCTATGAGGCCTCAGCAGGACAGGGCACTGCCACATGCAGGGGGAGTGATGGGTTCATCTCCGACCACCTGGACCCAAGCCTCATCATCATTCTTGTTGCATAATGCTTACTATGGATCCTCCTGCTAGGGAATGTCGGATCTGCACCTTGGTCATGGCTTCTGTGCCCCATCCTAGAGGTTTGTGTGGCCTCTGAGGAGGTAGGATGAGATGCCCAATGGCCTTGGGGGAATCACATTAACCAGAGCAGGGGTCTGGGCAAGTACTAGAAAGGGACATTTCGTGACACAGAAATTGGTCTAACAAGAAAAATGGATGAATCACAAATGACATTAAAATTTCTGAGAAACCAGAGGCTATAGTGTGACACCTGAACAGGGGCAATAGACAGGGAAAAGTGTTGTCACCAAAAGTCTGTCACCAACCAAGTTGACTGAAATGGGGAGAGGGCAGCAAATGGGATCCCACCAGAACAACTGATCTTACTCATAGATCTAAGTCTCCATTTCCATTCCACAGACTCTAAGGTAGCTGAGGGAAGCCGAGGGAGATCCTATCACAGCAAGCACTTGACCCCACCAGGGACAGGCAGGAGATTCCCCATAACAAATTCTGTGCCACGGAAACCTCTTCCAAGCTGTGTGTCTGAAACTCCCCTACCCCACTGACACCCTTTCTGTCCCGCAGGCTGCCCCAGCTGGGAGCCCAAAGGATACCAGATTAACTGAGCACATCCACAGCTCTGAAAAGCTCCGATGATTGAACTGTCATTGGGACCATATCATACAAAGCAGTCTAAACATAACTAGGACAACCACTTTCTAAAACTAAAAGATTCAAGTACGACTGAGTGTCTCCTTATGAAATAGGTAAAATGTCTAGAATGCCATTGAAAATTACCCATTATCAAAAAAAAAAGAAAGAAATGTACAGCATAAATTATAGATAATTGATACCAACATCAAGACAAATCTAATTCTGAATTTAACTGGCAAGGACTTTAAAATAGCTATCATAAAAATGCGTCAACAAATAGATACAAATTCTCTTGAAAATAAAAAAAAAGAAAATCACAGGGGGGAAATGTAGAAGCTATGAAGAACAGAATGGAAATAACAGAACTAATAAATATAATAATAGAAATTAAAAATCTAACTGGATGTGTTCAGTAACAGAGTATAGGATCAGTGAACTGAATCAATAGAATCCACTCAATTTGTACAACAGAAAAAAATTGACTTTCAAAAAATGAATAGCCACAGGGACTTGTAAGATGGTAACAAAAGAGCCAACATTCATATTTTTGGAGTGCTAGAGGAGAAAAGAAGAAGATAGCTGCTAAAAAGCATTTGAGGAAATAATAGCTAAACATATTCTAAATTTGGCAAAAGACACATCTATAGATTCAAGAAGCCAAGCAAACGGCAAACAAGATCAATAACAAACAAACAAAAAAATTCATTACAAGAAACATATTGAACTTCTGAAAGCAGAATACAAAGACTGAATCTTGAAAGCAGCCAGAGAGAAATGATGGATCACATATTGGAGCACACCATCTTGAATGGCAATGGGTTTCTCCTGTCACACTGCAGAAAGGCCTTTCTTTTTCTCTTTTCTTTTTTTTTCTGTACTGGAGATTACACTCAGAGGCACTTACCACTGAGCTACATCTACAGCTCTTTTGTTTTATATCAAAACAGGGTCTTGCTAAGTTGCTGACGCTGATCTTGAACTTGCTCTCTTCCTGCCTCAACCTTTTAAATTGCTGGGATTACAGGCATGTGTCACTGCACGCAGCTGGCCTGAAGTTTTTAAAAGACTGAAAGAAAAGAAACATCAACTGTGAATTCTGTGTTTACTGAAACTATCAATAATGGGAAAATATGGACTGGGGTTGTGGCTCAGCAGTAGAGCATTTGCCTAGCATGTGCGAGGCCCTGGGTTCAAATCTCAGCTCCACATAAAAATAAATTAAAAAAAAAAGGTACTGTGTCCAACTACAACTAAAAAATAAATATTTTTAAAAATGGGAAAATACATTCTCAGGTGAAGAAATAAAAAGAAGGAATTGCTATCAAACCTACATTTAGATTGACAATAATGTTCTTAAGACAAATTATATGGTTTAAAGAGAGAGAGAGAGACAGAACCCTGAAGCATCAGGACATAAGAAAGAACAATGCTGAGCTGATGGGAATACAATCACTGTGGCTTGGATAAGAGGTGTCCCTCAAAAAGCCCATGTGATAGACAATGAAGGGGTGTTCAGATGTGAAGTGATTAGATTATGAGACCTGTAACCTAATCAGTGGACTAATCCATTTGAATGGATTACTGGGTGGTCACTGTAGGAAGATGGGGAATAACTGGAAGAAGAAGGTCATGGGGGTTTGCCCTTAGGGATTATACGTTGTCTCTGGTTCCTTGTTCTTTTACCCCTGGCTTTCAGGAGCTGAATAACTTCCCTCCACCCTACATTTCCTCCATGATGTTCTTCCTCACCTCAAGCCCAGATCCGTGGAGTTGACCAACTAAGGACTGAACCTTTGAAACCATGAGTTCAAAATAAAATTTTCTTCCTCTAAATTGTTCTTCTCAGGTATTTTGGCCACAGTGAAGAAAAGCTGAATAATACAACAATAGACTTCTTCTTTCCTCACAGGTTTTGAGATCTATATTTGATGACTGAAAGAGGAAATGACATCATCTGATACTCAAGACAATGATATTTGCTAGTGGGAAGGATAAAGGAACCTAAAAGGAAGTGAAATTTCCACATGTCAACCCAAGTAATAAAATGTTGACACCAATAGACAGTGACAAATCACATAACAAAAGATATATTCATTGCACTATATAAATCAAGATGGGGTCCTCAAAAATATTCTAAATGTTCTTGTCTACTCCAGGAACATGAAAGAATAGAAACAGAAAAACAAGAATGAAACAAAAAAATCAAAAAATGACAGACTTTAGCACTAAGTTATCAATAATTACCCTAAATGTAAATGGTCAAACTACATCGATGAATTGAGATTGGCAGAGTGGGGTAGAAGTGACCCAATTAGATGCAGTTTTCAAGAAAATTTAAATTTATTGAAACAGGTTGAAAATAAAAGCTATAACACAAATGGGACCATTAATCAAAAAAAAAGCAGAAGTCATTTATACTAGATAACTAGACGTTAGAGCAAGGAATATTACTGGAGTCAGAGTCAATGAGTGATATTATACAATGAAATAAAGGTCAATCCACTAGAAAGACATAAAGGTCCTGAATGTGTGCTCATCCAACAACAGAGCCTTAACAAATAAATTAAAATCTGATAGAGTTAAAAGGAGAAATAGACAAATCCACATTATAGTTAGGGAGTTCAGATTCTTCTCTCACCAACTAACAGAAAGAAGGATGCTATGGCTTGAATGTTTGTGCTCCCCCAAAATTCATGTGCTGAAACATACTTCACAATCTGATGGTGTTAAAGAGGTGAGGGCTTTGGGAAGCCATTAGGTCATAAATATGGAGCCCTCATGACTGGGATTAGTGCCCTTATTAAATAAGCCCAAGCAAGCATCTTTGCACTTTTCACAATGTGAGGAAATAGCTAGAAGGCACCAGTATGAGTAATGGGACCTCAGCCGATAATCTCCTGGTGCCTTGATCTTAGACATCTCAGTCTCCAGAACTGTGACAAAGATGTTGCCATTATGTTTTCCTTTTTACATAAGCCACCCATTCCATGACACATTGGGAGTATTGAATATAAAAATGATTTAAAAAGTGGAAGTGGCTTCGGAACTGGATAAGGTACAGAGGCTTCAAAAATTTGAAGCGTCTGTAAGCAAAAGCCTATTTCTGTTCACAGACCACTTTAGATGATTCTGAGGAAGGCACGGAAGGAGAGGATGGCCCTAGAAGAAGCCTTAGTCTTAGACAATACCGAAGTGGTTGGGAAAAGATACGAAAGGCCATTCTGAT